TGTTTCTAGAGCACCAACAGTCACTATATAAATAATCAATAATGTGTATAACAATAAGATTATTACGATTAATAATAATTTGTTTTGGTGCCTCCTCCTCTTGTATTCATTTATAAACCAAAGAAAAGCACAATTGGCTCTCAGATGGGAGGTAGCCTAGCTTAGCATAAAGACTGGAAGCAGGGGGAAACAGTTAGCGTGGCTTTGCCCACAGTCAAATATCAAAAATAGTGTTTTGAAGTGGGAAATTTACTTTTTAATGTACATAAATTACAATATTTGTTGACCGTAGCTGCTGCTAGCATCCAGTCTTTATTGAAAGAAGAGCAAAGATGTTTGCTGTCTTCTCCTGCAGGAAGAGTTTGACTACATTATATACAAAAGAAGAGAGAAAGGAACCTAAAGTTTGAGTTTTTGTACTCAGGTTTATAAAATAATGAATATTTCCATTAGATGGGACGCTACAGCTGCATTTTCCCTCCTCGAAGGCTTCATCTTTTCTTTCCTGCTACACATTTTTGTCGTTTAATGACACTTTTTCTGTCATTAAACAACAAAAAAAGTAAATTCTGACATTCGAGTCTGTTTATTTGACTGTCTCTCTCTGCTCTCCACACTTCGACAAACAAACTCTACGTCTTTGTCTCCGCCCGCCCTCCCTCCCTCAACACACATTCAACACGCCGCTGTTGCCGCGGTAACCCACTCATCACCATTCAACCCCTGGAGTGTCGGTAAGTCTTGCTTGGTGGCACGTCGGACAAAAGGGCATTCTGGGAAGTGAATTCATGGGCCCCCCTCCGCCGCTCGTGCTCGTAAAAGAAACAACAACAAAAACGGAGCTGTGGTTTCCAACGAACACAGGCTGACCTGAACGCAACCTCAGACACTCAGACGCTCTAAAACAAACAAAAAAAGAAGAAAGTGAAGAGCTGAACAGGTTCCTCCAAAATAAAACACTTGTACATTCACAACAACTGCTTATAAAACTCTGATATCCAATCAATCACTGATATCAGGACTGGGCTGCACCAGTTCTCTCCTGTATGTGTAAAGGTGACAGTAGAGGATCAATAACTGCCAATTAGTTTGTGTCTAAATCAGTGGGTAAAGTGGGTTTTAACACAATTACTTTGGGCAGTTTGGTTTAGAGTAACATTTCTGATGTTTTTTTTTTATGTCAAATAAGTCACAATGGGCGTTTATGGTAAATGGAAATTTTATTAATATCTAAATAATTTGTAATTTTTTGTTTGTATTTCTTAAAATATACTTTAAATTGAACAACAGGGCACATATTAATTTGAAATAATTGAAACAGTGAAATGAATTGAGTGGTCTATTACCTTTTTTGTTAATGTACAAAGACGTCACATCAGGTTTTCCATGACGACTTTACGGTTAAAAGCCCGATGTGACATATACGTAACTTGTTTTATATTATTTTGTTCGGGAAATATGGTCAGACCACCAGGATGTTTTGTATATGTCACTTAGGGACCTAATGAGTTAAGTCAAGCATAAAGCTGTATATGAAAGATTCAAGGACATCTAAAGTGTCACCATGGGTTCTTATGGGTTAATTCATGACCTCTGGCAGTTTTATGTAACACAATAATCTACTATCGGTGGTGGAAGAAGTCCTCAGATCAATAACATAAGTTAATGTGTCACAATGTAGAAATACTGTAGAAACATGGTGGACACAAGAGGACCCGCTCAAAACAAAAACACAATTATTCTTATATTCAGGTGATTATAAACTAATGAAAACACACCTATTAATATTATATTTCTAAATAATAGATCAACAAATACATTTCCCAACATGCCGCAGTGGATTTCCACTTCAGGCTCAGTGAAGAAGAATCATGTGTTGGTGTGTTAGTGTTGGACCGCAGAGCGACGGCGTTCGTGGTTCGATTAACGTTCCCTGTGGTTCCTTCATCTTTAAATCTTCATCACAGGTTCTTGGCTGAGGAAAGGCGGGAGGACGCAAACGTGTTTCACTTCCCAGCGGGGGACGTTTCTTTGGCTGAACTCGTTCGAATGATTTACACCAGAGTGGAGATCCAACCATGACTCAAACATTTATCCTCCTATTTATCCTAAGTGTTTAAAGCTCTGTAACATTTCCTCATTAAACTTTTCATTAACAGTGTATAAACTCTAGAGCTATGTTCTATATTCAATCAATAATCTATAATCATTAACAGTGTATAAACTCTAGAGCTATGTTCTATATGTAGTTGATTCAATCAGTAATCAATAATCATTAAACAGTGTATAAACTTTGTTCTATCTCATTTTGTTAGCTTTAGCCTCAATCTGTAAGCATAATAACTTTTTTATCTTACATTTTATAGATTAGAACCGATGTCCGACTCATATCAGTAAATCTTTTAACCTTAATAAATCAATCAGCTGATCAAATATTGATCAGATTAGTAGCTGCCTGGATTAAACCCTCCTCGTACATTACAGTCACCGCTTTATCTCCTCCAACCTGCTGGAAAACAAACGCCTCCCGTCCATCAGCTGAGAAACAAACTCTCAGAGCAAACAGCCTTTTTATCTGCAGCTGCCAGGTACGCATGGAAAACAAACGCCGCCACCGTCCCGCTGCTGCTTCAGGATTTAAGAGGTGAAGTGTCTCTTAATGTCTTTGGGTATCAGAGGCTGTTTTCACAGCTGTATTTACAGAGTTAAACTCACAGCTTTTCAGATTGTACCACACAATGAAATCAGAACAGGAACAGAGAGATACTCTGTAAGGAGGACAAAAAACTGCTGAATTAAAATCATAAAATAACAAAAAGGTTTCGGTTTCAAACAAACTAGTCACGTCTGAAGGAAGGACATTTACTTATTCTACTAAAGTACAATTTTGAGGTATTTGTACTTATGTACTTAGTATTTCAACTTCTAGAGAAATATACAGCTGTAGTTACTACATTTGTTTTAATCTGTATATCTGTATATCACTGAATGATGCCTGATGGGGTTCGAATCAACAGGATTCAGGAGATTTTGCTTCTGTTTAAAGGTTAGCTCCTTCAAAACGTCTCTACGTCATTATAATCTGTTTTTATTTATTGGCTCGTTTTACCTTTGAGACAGAAATTGTCTGCAGTCATCAGAAAAGGAAGCCAAAGGGTTTGGAGCTCGAGGGATGCTGCGAATGCCCCAAGTGGAGAGGAAGAGATTCTGTTCAAGAACATACGCTTAACATAGATTCCCCGCATTTATTCATTCTTTACTTAAATTTTGGCCATTAGCTCACATTGCTGCCACGAAGGGTGACACTATTCAGATTAACATAATTTTAAAAAGATAACGTAACAGAAAGACATTTTTGTCATAATCAACAACTCACACGTGCTCGATCGAAACCAGCCACTAATTAGTACAAATGTGAAACGACTTCAGTTTAATTAGACTTTTAACGGATGTTGCGCATTGTTAACAGTAACAGATTTATATTATCCTTATTTCTATTAAAAAGGTCTTACAATGCCCTTATGTCCTTTATCTTACTAGAAAAAAAAAACTCTGGATAAGACGGTAAAAGTCTGCGAGAGTACGACGTGATTGTGTTGGGTTCTGTTCGTGTGTGTTTGTGTGTGTCATGAATGTGCTTCTAGTGACTTTAAAGCACAGTCATACACACTTTGAAATCTTTATTTTGTAACAATCACACATATTTTAAAGACAAACATCATTACTGACAAGAATCAGCTCCAAAGCTCAAACAATAACGTCCAGGTTGCCAGAGACTGGACTTTATCCCGGAGGCTCAACTCCTGAATATCAATAGTTTTAAAAAGGTTTAAACCTTTAAAAACCGTCTGTTTTGCCTATTTGGCTGAAGGAGGATTAAACCTCCAGGTCGTCTGGAACAAAAGAGCTCCTCATTCCTGCTGATCTCCTCGCGCAGTCCAGGCGGAGGAGAGGTCAGAGCGAGGAGTGCCGCTGATCCATTAGCGGGCTGAGGGAGTGTTGACCTACAACCCAGAATGTGTTCCTGTTTTCGATGCCAGCCGCCGCAACTCATCGCCTCCCACTCAGAGAGGCTCCTCTCCACTGAGATCTCCTCCTCGCCTGACAACGAGAGCCAAAACAGCGTTGAGCTCTCCGCAGGCGGATGAATTTACACACTGGAATCCAGTCACAAGTTATGAGTATGAATGAACCCGTCAGCAGGACGCGGGATTAGAAATATATCACATCTGTCAGGTTGGAGCGAGTCTGAGGCTTGTTTACAGGCCTGTT